CTACTGTTTCTATTACACTAATTTCGTGCATTTGAAAAATAAAAACTTATGGAAATATTTGATGAAAAGATCGTGAGCAAGCGATCCAGTTAAAATGTTCCACAGCTATTCCTTGAATAAGTCCTTTCTTTATTAATTAGATACTAAACACTCTGTGTGTATTAATTTATGGCAAAACAGTATCATAGGAAGTGCCCCTTCTTATTACTGCTTCGCTATGTTGCTATTTTAAGTAACTTGTTTAAAATACATGAATTTACATTTATAGAATTAATTTCTGGAAATCTCATATCGCGGAGAAGGCAAGAATGTAATTTGTCCGTCTCTTCATAGGAGTCAATGGTGGTCCACCTATTAGATGCCTCTATAATAAAGAGACCAAACAAAATTTGAAACAAATGTTATCGCAATGTATTATTTAAAAAAGAATAAATAATGAAAAATCGGAATGATTGTACACACGAATGTTCCTTGAACGGAAGAAAAACGACAATAACCAGAGCAATTGATTTTTTTATACATGAAGACCCCCACCCGATCGCAAATACCTCGAAAAACGAATTTTGAATTTTGAATTTGATTCTGTTTTCCTTTTTATAGTTTTGTTTTCTATTTCGAAAAAATCAAAAAATTGACAAACTCAGCAATTTGAAAGAGAAAAGTCACAATACCATACGAAATAAACATTTTTACCTCCAGCGCTCCAGGCTGCGCCATTCAGCAGAACGTAAAATATTTATCTTTCAATCTTAATCCACATATTCGGCTATTTGAAAGCAACGTGTTGTCACCGCCTCATACAGAAGACTTATTACATTCATACGTCAGCGTGCTGCCATTCAGCAAAACCTAAAATGTTTAGTTCCCAAATACAAAATTTTCATAAACCAACTGTTTAAAAAGCACTAAACGCAGTTCTTAAATATATGTTTCTACTTTTTAATTTGATTGATTTAAATCATGAGATGTATAATTAAAAAACTAAATGTTTTTATGAAATGACATTACATAGACTCACTAAAATCATGACATACGTTTTACTTTTTTCGGTAACGAATTTTAACGACTGACCGCTCATGGAGAATTCTAAAGATGCGCTGCTTTTTAAAAATATTTAGTCCAAAGGGACAGTTTGCCCTGAAGGAATATTATTTTCGTTTTGGCATATTGCGTTGGTTCACTATAAATGTCCGATTTACTTTTCAAAATGTTGCCACCAAATATTACCGCTTTTTGTTATATTTAAAAAATTAAATAATGAAGATAAATATAATAAATAACATGCATAAATGGATGCATGTTTCTCGCATTGTGATAAAACAACGCTGATAAAAGAACTAGAGCCATCCAGTTTTGAATAACGTACGTTTCCATCCAAATATGGGCATCTGGAAGCCCACATTTGGAATTTGTTTTTATTATCTATTTCATATTTTGTAAAACTTTAAAGAATTTTTGATTAACAAACTCGATGATTTAAAAGCGAGCAATGGCAACACTCTACGGGGGGCAACACTCTACTACATACTCTACTACCTTTTATCTCCAGCGCTCGGAACTGTGTATCGGAAAGTCTAAAGATATGCTCATTTAAAAATTATTTAGCGAAATTTCTGTTAAATGAATTTTATGGTTTAAGTGCGAAGAACATAGTATTTAATAAATAAAGGTAAAACACAAAACGTTAAAAAAACGCCCCTCTGAACGTAATTTAAAATCTGAAAACTTTCAAATTTTTTATTTATTTATTTATTTTTATTTTGCTCTTGAATGTTATACATCGTAGGTGCTAAGAAAATGGTGCTTAATAATAAAGCTAAAAAGAGTGTGTTAGCAGAAGTGAGTCCAAGAGCAGATTGGTAAGCTGAGATGTTCAGCGACAGCACAAAACTTTTTAACAAAACCTCTTATGTGACGTTAAAATCTGAATTCGATCAGATTTTCTTTCTTTCTTTTTTAAATCTTCGTATAGTATTTATTAGGACTTCAACACTTTTTTCTGCTTTTTTATAGGTTTGATCTTGGACTAATATCATTTCCCTTGCACGTTCACAGTGGACCTCAAAAGCAACTTTTAATGTGATTTTGGATTTCGCTCATTTTCTGCGACTCAAATTTTCTATTCGCCTTTCCAGACTCTGAAATTGAATTTAAAGTTGGTGTTGGTTCATTACCACATCTTCGTTCTAAGGAAATACGAATAGATTCGATGATTTAATTTCTTTTATTCTTACATTCATTATTTCTTTACGTTTTGGCTTTTATCATTATATATTTTTATTCTTGATTGCCTTATGATCTGGATTTAATTTTTTTATTATATACATTTCTCCTTCTATTCCGGTATGCTTATTTTTTTAAAAGAAACGTAAGCATTCAGCACAAAAGCCTACATTGTTTCCAAAAGGCTGTATTGCAAGCTTCCAAGAGGCTTGTATTGCGTGCAAGTTGCTGAGAAAAAAGATCACGGAGGAAACAATGAAGTCTTTTGATTTTACAATTTAATGCTTATACTCGATTGATTTGAGTCGTTTGTTACTTCAAAAGGCTTTTTCGACGAAGATACATGCTTGTGTTCCACAACTTTGAAACAGCTTTACAACAAACGGAACCAATTATATGCATTTAAGAAAATCTTATATATATATAACCGTTATAGTTTATTTTAAATTTTACTGACCTTCTTTGCACTTTCATTATGCACACATTTTTATGCTTAATTGTATACAAATCTATATGCACTGCAAATATGCGGATATATACAACATGCATGTTCGATCATATAAAGAGGGTATTAATGAACGATTTCAATTAGAATACGATTTTAAAATGATTTCGATAAAGAATTAAAAAAAGCAAATGTCTTGAAATAAAACGTTCTGGCAATAGCTTATTATTTGAAATGAGAAATATCGTCTGTTAATTCATTTTTTTTCTTCTTTCAAAATTTCGCATGTAAACATGTTGCGGTTGAAAGGATACTATAAATTTGCACTTTCTGAAGAGGAAACATTCCTATTTCATAATTCAAAAATATTGTGAAATGCAATGTATTAAAATTTCTAAGTTCAAAATAAACAATATAATTAATCGGAAAGGGAAACACTCTTAATCATTACTTTTACATCGGAAGAAGGCTACAAACGAATACGCATAAAGGTAAGTATTGTTTCTAATGTTTGTAAAGTTTAAGGGGTGTTGGAACCCCAAAATCTTCAAAAAATGGTGATTTCGGATTTTTGCATTTCTAAATTTTATATACTTTTTTTTTCATCTTTCTAAAAATACCATTCTTTAATATCTCTGAAAATTAGAACTGTAAAAAATCTAGTTTTAATTTGTCATCGAATGCTTTGATGAATGAGGATTTTTACATAAAAACGCGTTTTTCTCCAAAAGTGATTTTCTTATACTTGATGTACCTTTTCTCGGGAACTACTGCTCACAGGTATCTAAAATTTTTTATGGCTTATTTATTAGATTTCCTAATATTTACTGAAATGAGCTTTTTGTCTTAAACTAAGAAAAAAAAATTAAAGAATTTTTTTATGTGAGAAGAGTGCTAAATTTTACTATGCCTAACAAAATAGTCTGTAAATTACTCTAAAATTCAAAATGTGTCAAAATCTCATTTCAGTATAATCAGATAGGTACACTTTAATTACACAAAAAATTTCAAGCTTGTATCTACAGCAGATTTTGAGAAAAGGTACATCCAAACTGGCCAATTTAACACTGTCGGTCTAGGAGTTGCTGATACCCCTTAATCGTTGTTCAAACGAAAATCTGTCGATGCAGTAACAAATTCGAAAGTCTTTAAATACATCTGTAGTAAAAATAAATAAAATGATAAATCAGGATTTACAACTAAAAAAAAAAAAAAACGTAACATTTACTAGTTTTTCTCGAGGCGTGTGGCTCAACGCCGAACTATTTATAGAATTCTATATGAAAACTATTTAGCAGGAGGTAAATAGACATAGGACAAAGTATATTTATTATGGAAAACGAAGAAAAAGTGTACAAGCCTAGTTCTGTCAATGCAAAGAAAGTTTCCATACGTAGTTTATAATTGTTGCAGGATTCTTTTATAATAGGGTATAAAAAATATGAAGGGTGAAAAGACGTGCTAAAATCAACTCAACGTACTATCAAGAGAAAGGTTTACATCTGATATTTACATAAGAAATTCCAAAATTCCTCTACATTAACCCAATGACTTTCAAAGAGTGAAACTTCATCATAGCAAAGCAGAAAGTCAAACTTCTAAAAGTACCACTTTTGCCACCGCATCTTTCTTTAATCAAATGAAAACTGATCTAGGCATTGCATATATATATATCTTTCCAATGTATTCATGCGAAGTTCCCTGACGTTTAATGTACAGACGATTGTGCCTTTAGTCTCTTGAAAAAAGCTCTGGCTAAGCGCAAACCCAGCACGATTGCTGGACTGTGGAAAGTAGCGGAAGAGGCACATGAAACTCAATACTACTGAAACTTTTGTGAAATGCCCTTCTGTCATGGAAATCATGATGCAGAATATAGTCCAGAAAAAAGGCTAACAGATCAAGCATTTCAAATCCTTTTAAGCTTTTAACCTCTTTACTTTTAAAGCATTAGTCAAATGGCATCGAAACCGTTCTAAAAACGCATAAACACCCTCTACATATGTATTCTAATCAGTATTGCTAATATGTTTAAATTATGAAAAAAAATTACCAACGTAACGAAATAATTTATGAAATGGTAAAAAGAAATAAGTAGTACAATGACTTCATATAAGGCAAAGATTTCAAAATAATTACATTTTCTTCAATTCTCCTATTCAATTAAATAGCTGTATCATTAAGAACAACTAGAATCTGCTGAACAGAATTAATCAATCGTAGAAAATGATTTAAACCATAAATTATGTACATCACAGCATTAGTTCTTAGTAAGATTATAAGGAACTAATAAGATTCTACACTGAATTCAAAGGTTTAAAAAAGTGTTTACCTGTCTTGTTCCAACAGCTGGGTCAGCATAATCACCTTTGTTTGCTACAAAAAATGATAAAATGAGGATAACAAAATGCATTGAAAATTTTAAAGTTTTCATTAGAAATTCAAGAGTACATTTCAAGGGTATCAAACTTAATACTCTGCCATATAGATTATTGCCCATGCTAACGCATATTTTATGAAAAAAATCCATTTCCTATTAGCGCAATCTTGTGATAATGGTACGTTCTAACAAAGTAAACAAGTTTCGATTTTAAAATTGAAAACAGTGGAAATTTTCTAAAACAGGATTTTTTTTACTCTGTATTTTTGTTTCAAAAATTTCCTTTATATATAATATACTACTCAGTTATATAATTTAAACGCAAATGCCTAGAAATTAAAAAAAAAATTACAACATATGTACATCATATTATTGCAAAAAGAGCTATATTGTATATTTACGATCACATGTAACGAATGTCAGTATGATTCACCAGTTTCATGGTAATTTCGAAAGTAAGTCTGCTAATTAATGCACATGTAACCTATGCAAGTACACGTAGTGAATATCCAAAAGTTAAACATAATCGGAGGGGAACCCTCATGTGTGAAGGCTGAGTTTTACAGATGCCCCTGTTCGTGTTCACTACGTGCCTTCTACTGAGACGTTTCTGCCTCGTGCTCAATTAAATTAGAGCTGCTCATTATCCCATTCAAGTTGATAAAGCAAAGGCATTTTGGGGTAATTTGGATTATGGAGAAGACAAAGCTGAAGGAATAAAGATTTTCCGTACTATTAATAAGATTGAGAATTTACATCAGAAGTTAAAAGCTGGGAAACCAGTTGAAGCATGTCTACGCAAAGCGGAGAAGGAAATTTTGATAAATGCAGAATGGCTTCAACACATATAGTTCAGAGAAACTCATTATTTGGGCCAGTTCAAGAAAACGTCTCATGCAGTTGTTGAGTAGAATTCTCGAGAGAAAAAAATGAAGCCCAGGAAAGCCTCTGCCACTAATAGTAAAGATGATTCCAAAAACCTGCCCATTATTGACAAAAGCGGAAAATGACTGGATTACTTCTAGTTAAGTTTCTAGGCAAATTCCAGCTCAGATTTCTACATCTGCGACTAAAATAAATCAATTTGATTCTGTAGCTGCTTTTACTTCCGATGATACAAAAAATGGGCAAGCTGATGTTCAAAACCCAGAAGATGAAATCATGGTAATTTACTACAGAAAAAGAAAGATTATCGCTAATTTGTCTAAAGCTGGAGGTAACATGGAAAAAAGTAAGAAGCTTTCTTTCTCAGCAAGGCGTACAAGGCCCACCGGAACGCTGAATCGAGATAAAATTTCTCTTTTCTCCGACTCCAGCCGGAACCGCAACGCTGCTTTTGGTCTGTTTTTAAAGCAGTTCATTTAGAAATAAAAGGAAAACACATATTAAGTTTGTTATCCATGGATTGGTTGTTATCTGCGGACCAATGACTTTCAAGTAAGAAAACAACGCAATTCAAGACGAAGTTCCCAAAACGGCGAAATAAAACGTTTAGTATTTTTTGCCTCAGTTTAAAAGAAATGTTGAATGTAGAAAAAATTGCATGCAAAGTACTCCTTGGCCTTCTGATTCGTATCAGATGATATAGAAGTGGGAACTGTTGGCAGAAGTTTGATCACGGCCAAATAGCTTCTTGCGCTCCAAGACTACTTCTTGATCACAGCCAGATCTTCTTGACTCTCCGAGATGTCTCGGAGAAGCAAGAATTGAGATGTCTCGGAGAAGCAAGAATCACTTCGTGTACCCTAGGGAAATATGTAAACCGGCTTTTGTTCATTTCAGTGGATTACGTGGCTTTCTCTAAGTTCTCTATTTTCTCCAAGTTTCTGTGACTTTCACCTGAAAATTCACAAAACGCAAACAGATAAAAACCAGCTCCAGAGCTGACTGGATCTACCGCAAGAGTTACTTCGAATAGAAGCAACACGGTTTCTGAAGACAAACCTGGGGTACAAGTGCAGAATTCCTTCTAGGATGCGATGACCAAAAAAAAAAAAAAATTTGAGCAACCAAAATTTAGTTTCCAGATGAATGAAAAGCTACATAATTTCATTCAATTCATTGAATTTGCTGAGAAATGCCAAAGGTAAAGTTCTCAGCAGGAAAGAAATCTGCTTGCTTTCAAAATTATGGACATGATGATCAAAACAGGATTCCAATATTTTTTGGGAGGAGGAAGTAGAGATGAGTATCTTGCAAGAACCTTGGAGTACGGTAGGTGACGCCACACTACAGTCAGATTTATATCCCTCCATTATTTCAGGATTCGAATACGCTGCTCTCACGGCTGCATTTTCTTTCCTGCTACTGCTTGACACTTTTCGGCATCATATTCAGCTAGATTTATACCCGAAATATCAAATCGGCATCGTCTTTATCGAGCCGAACACGTCGCATTTTTATGTGTTATTTTCAGAATTACCAGTTAAGTCCAAACATTAACTATAAGTTTACAACTCTACCAGCGGCAAGTGTATGTAAGAAGTACACGACAATAAACTAGGTCAGAACGTCTGGGTAGAGAACAGCTTAAAAATGAGAAAATATTAAATTTTTAATGATATATTTTCCCTACCGTTTTGACCTTATTGTAGTCTCAGGGAACTTCCGCATAAAAGTTTTAAAACCAATATTATAAAAACTGCGATTTCTCTTTATAAACATAAATAATCATAATAAAGTATAAAAACGAAATGAAAAGAGATAGTAACTGTTACAATAACTTCATCTTTTATAGACAGCAATGAAAAAAGATAAATCAACGTATTTTATCGTAAAAATATTATATATTTCAAGAAAATGTAATATTTGAAGATAATTTACTTTTGATTAGTAAAAGTGAATTTTATTGCGTGGAATCTGTATTTATTGTTTAGTACTAATATGGAGCAGAACTTAAAGTACATAAATTTATTCTTCGTCTGAAAGGATACAATTTCTGTGTTTGCCTTTCATATTTTTTAAATAAATAAAAACGTTTCTCTCCTATGTTAGGAAATGAAAGCCGCAGAAGTACATGTATCACTTTCTTTGATTTGAAGATTTGCATTATATTCTTCTTCATGGTAATCTTCCAGATATCGAGGAATTGTTCTATAGATCACATGCACAGCGGATGATCAAACTGCAGTCTACAAAGGTTTCGTACTATCATTTCTACCAGAACAGTAGAGATTGTGAAAATGCGATAGAGATTGAATTAGACTATTATTTTGTTTATATTTCAGACACCAGAATCAGTTTGAAAAATCGCAGATGCGATATCAGTTTGAAACTAGATTTTGCCATTTATTTTAAACTAATATCTTTTATTGTTGTTTCTTAAAATGTCTGCACAATTTCTTTCAAATTTCCCATATATTAATCAAACAGCTCTGTTTTGCAACTGCAATATTTTTTTAAGGAGAGAGAACTTTAAACTTTCATTGATTATTACATTACAAAAGTAATAATATATTTTTCATAAAATTTAATTTGCTGCTGTTTATTCATTTAATAACTAATGGTTGCCTAAAATTATGATGCGAATATAGAATGAGATTTACTAGTTATAGAAACAGAAAATCTTGTTTATAAACATAGGATAAAATTTATTTCTAAATATAGATACTTTTATAAATAGTGGTAGATTCTATAACCGCAGTTTTAAATTTACTTGTATTTTTTAATTGCAAAATAAATGACTTCATCACAAAAGAAAAAAAATGTATTAAAAAGTAAGTCTTCTTTTGTGCAAATCCGATGCAAAATTAACTTTAACCGAAAAGGAATTCGTAAATGTATTTAAATATTTAATAAATCTCGGAAATTTCTCTCAGAAGTTTACGCCACAAACGGGATCTTACATGACTCAGCAACGTCATATGAAACTTTTACCAGGATTTCAAATGTAACTTAAGTAACAAGCTCATAATCCAATAAAAATATTTAAATAATACAGTGGGAAAGGACTACAGTATTCCCGACTAGTTGGAACATCATGGGAATGCATTTTAAAATGTGAATATATATCAACTTTATGTGTATGCATTTCTGCTAAAGCTGCTTTGCTGAAGCTGGTTTTGTCATGAAATTTTAAATTTCCTTTACGGAATTAATCTCATATTTTACTATCCAAGTTACAAATGTACAGAAAGAAGAACATTAGAAAGGTTTCTAAAGTTTTTATTGCAAAATATTAGGCATAGCTGCCAGACCAAAAGTAATGAATTCATTGATTTAAGATTATAAAGTAAAATTTAAGCATACTTTCAGTTCAAGTTCAGTAAGTTTCAAGCTGTGCATTCGAAAATATTACAATTCAGTTTTATGTTTGATCTTACAAATAACTGCTATAATAATTATAACCTGGCAAATAACTGCTAAATATTTGCCTCCGGCAAGCGTATGGTGGCCTTTACATTGCAAGCATAAGCTGATTCAAAGAATTCTCACTGCCGCGCGAATTATTTAATTAAAATGTAAATCAATAGACAGCAAGCAAACATCTCAAGCTTAGTAACAGTCATATTTCATATTAAAATCGTGGTGATTAAAATAGCAGTGATTTTTAAATATGACACTCTGGATGAATTCACTTTGTTCCGCTGGCTATCTCAGAGAGAGGATTGTCATTGTTTATCACAAAGTGTACTCATTCGATGTTACAGCCTGTCTCTCATTTTTGAAGGTATTTACGTATTGGCACAATCACATTGGCGCAATATGGGGATTTTTTTAAGATAAAAAAAGGCCAAAGTTACTTATCAGGAACAAGTAAAAGGTTTTTGCACCTTTTGTATTTTAGAATGCTTCCCAAACTATCGATATTAATAGGAAATCGATTAACATTACCAACATATGCAGAGAAAAGAAACTTTAGCAATTTAAAGTACAAATTTGAATTATTACATAAGGGTTATGTGATACCTTAAAAAAATAAAACTTATACACTTCTTTATTACTTTCTGTATATTTTTTTTTTTTGCCTCCATTTTTCTATCTCTTCTACACACAGCGATCAGTTTTCGTTTAAGAATTCAAAGAATTACGAAGACTCGGCTTAGCAACTATATCTAGGATACGCATTTCTTCATTGTTCCCTCTAGAAAATGTTCAGCAGAATTTTGTATTCTTGCATAAATTTTACAGTTTCTTACATTGCTGGCAAATTCCATAAGCTCATGTTATAAAACTAAGTTTAGGGCAAAAGTATCACGACTTGTTTATAAGAACCGTGGAACTTGGAATACAACAAAAAAGAATGCATGCGAAAATGGCGCCTAATATGTAAGTACAATTTTAAATAGAATGGCTTATGGCAATTAAATATCCTTTAGCTTAAGCAAACCTCAAACATGGAGGAACCAGCGGCCAAATAGTAAAGTTACTAAACACTGGTAATTCGACCTGGATTCAATTCCAGGTGAACGGGCTGGCTTCATGAATGAGTCTGCCACTGCCAATGATGAGTAATGGTAAATAAAGAATTGAAAATTGATAACGCTGCAACAACAGATAAAAAGAAATATTTGCATAAAATTAATTACTACTATTTTAAAATTAAAACTAAAATGATTACCAATAAAATTATAAAATACTAATTTTAGCAGTTAGTATAATACTAATTTTAGTAATTAATTTACTAAAATTAAAAAAAAAAAAAAATATTTGCTGAAATTTTAACCAGCGATGTTGATATCGTTTTCATAAAATTGTGTGCTTTCTTTAAAAATTCCGTAACTGGAAGTAAGTACGCGCATGTCTTGCATTAATATTTAAGAAAATAACGAACGCCTTTCTCGAACTCTTGCTATCTTTTACGAATAACATTCAGTAATATTTTTTGAAGATGCAGAATTGTTTGTTTTATTAAAAGGTAGGTATCTCTTTTTGCATTTAAAACAAATTTATGTTTTTACACTGGAATTTGAGTGTAGCTATATAATCCGTTTTGGGATTTTCTTCATGTTTTAAAATTTATTATGTGTAACAAACATCAACATTTTTAGTAATATGCCTTTTAAGAAGATTGTAATGGAGAAAAGTAAATATTTTGTCATCATAATACTTTCAAATTTTGAAAATTCCATTAAACCGCTAATATTAATGTGACATTCATTCCAAAGTAAAAATGTTTCTTGAATAAATATAATGCCGAGTTTGTTGTATGTGATATGCCAACTTGTTTTCTATTCATTATTTTCTGCATACAGGGTATTTTGTACAAAATCAAAGAAAAAGAAGAGGTGGCATTATGAGGTTTTCCTTTTGTGTAACTTGGACACGAGCCAGATTTTCTTAGGTAGTCTTCCTGCTATAAATCAGGCCAAACCATATCTAGTCAGAGGAAAGGAAATTCTTAAATATTTTTGCTTTGTTTTTGATGCTACTACTATGTAATACTTTAAGATTATTAAATCCTCAGACAGTATTTCCGTTTATTAACTTTAATAATAGTAATCATAATAAAAAATAAAAAATAACAGTTTTAAATTCGAATGAGATTATTCAGACTTATCTAAAAATGCGTGCGAATGAGCGATTGTATTGTGAGGCATTAGTTAATAGTTGGTATAAGTTTGCAAGTTTTCGCAAAATTATTTCGTTGTTATTAATTAATAACCAATAACTCTGCTACACTACATTCACTCTGGATAATTGATACCTACAGATAATTGGGACCCTCGATTTCAGGAGTAGAATATATTTCTTTTCCTTCTGAAAACGAGATCCGATATCGTAGCTTTAAGTATCTTTTTTTAAAAATTTTTCCTTTGAAAAGTAGTCCCAAATAAAGTTTCATTTTTAACACCTGCTTAGTAATTCGTTGTTTCAAACTGCTGTATACTAACAGGATTTTTCTTTTCCTATTCGTAGAAATTCGGAAGAAATTTAATTAAACAGAAATGTCAAATTTTTGTGCAATATAAATCGTTTCTTTAATACATATGCATATTCAAAAATACGTATATGCGAATGCCCTCTTTACTTCATTGCAAAGGCAAATGAAATGCGTATTGCTATATCCAATCATATTGCAATGTATAAGTTCCTAACTTATTTTTTCTTACCTTGTGTGCAGAAGTTTTATATGGAGTAATACTATTACAATTTAGATCGTAAATTGCAATATTCAAAAGAGGAAAAGTCCTTAAATATCTATTTCCAAACGTGCAAACCGAATACTGATGTTTTTAATGTATCATGCATATAAAATCCAAGTGTACTTACCGTTTGGACAAGAATAGTGTGATGTTTTCGAGTATTTACTTGAAATCTGCTTATTAAGGTCGCTCATTACAAGTGAATCTCCGCAAGGTTTGCGCATTTCGTATTCTAAAAAAGAATATACAAAGTTACTTATTTCATTATTTACTGTCTAACCAGTTTAGAGGAGCCAAGCGTAGAAAAAATATAACAAGTATATTAAATTTATGAAGCTATGTAATGTTTTTAAAAAACTCTCATATTGGTTTCTCACCTCATTTGGTTTCTAAAAGGTATTGTCACATACCTTTTAGAAGTTAAGTTATTCTAAAATTTGGTACCTCCTCACCAGTGACCGAGTTAGACAGGTGACAGGTGACAGCAGGACAGGGCACCCGGACGGCTTTCTATGACTACTATGACTCGGGTATTACTTGACTTTCTATGACTCGGGTATTCCCCTGGCCCTGCAACCATCTAGAGACTTCACAGTTGTAAGACGCTTAACAGATGTGTGCTCAATACATGCCACGTTACATCTACAGTATTATATGTGCACTGTCCATTACTGTGCTAATAGCCTTTAACGACACGTCGGCTTGTGGATAACTAAAAACAGTAACATTTCCATACTACGGATACACATACCATTGCTGTCCTAGCTACTTTAGTAAGCTTTGAAAATCGTTATGCCAATTGTGTTTATTACATGTGCCCTATTCCGGCCTGCAGATGTCTATGCCCATTTTTTCTAGCTTATCCATTATGATTTTAAGCTTTTGCCGCATGCCTCGATGTTTTATGGGAAGGCGTTTGAAAGGCAGAACATTGGTGGTTGGGAATTTGATGTGCCATTCTGCTGTTAAGGGGCACTCCGTGACATAATGGTCTGGTGAGCCCAAGTTGTCACAAACACACATATCAGTTGTTGCTAGACCCCTTTCTGCAAAGTACGTCGGAAAGGGGCCGTGGCCTGTTATATATCCCGTGAGGTAGGGCGCTGAGATGAGCCGGTCCACCTCTACCTTGGGCAGGGACTCATATGCTCTGCGGCCTTGCGGGATTTGGTCCCATTCATTCTGCCAGTTTCCAATGGCGGTCTCCTCTATTTGCCTCTTTAGGCATGACCGGGGCAGGGGCACCTGAATCTGCTCCGTTTCCTCATTTTGGGCAGCCTCCTTGGCAAGAGCGTCTGCTGCTTCATTTCCCTGGATTCCGGCGTGCGCCTTCACCCAGGAAATTTGGATTCTCATTGACTTTTCTTGTAGACGGAGGACTTCTTGCAGGTGCGAGATTAGTGCGGAGCGCTGAAGAGGGTTGTTGATAGCAAAAATGCTTGACAGGCTGTCAGTAAATATCGTAGCTCGACTCTGCCGTGTGTCAATTGCCCATTTCACTGCCCTGTGAGGGCAACTACTTCCGCTTGGAACACTGAGTTCTGTGCGCCCAGACGGCCCTTCCATTCCTTTGCTATGTTTCCATTTATATAGGCTATATAGGCACTGCCTACAGCGTTATCAATTTTTGACCCGTCTGTATAAAGCACGGCCCCTGGTCAGTCTTAGCGCGGGGTTAACGCTGGTGAGTGGAAAGTCCTTATGCCCAGTGAGACAGCTAAACATTTTATTATTTTTATTTACGTGTCCCGCCCTTAAAGTTGGAGTTTTGATAAAAAAAAGTTAGACAGTCTAATTAGGCCTAGAGGAGTACACAAGTAAAAATTTATGAAGATAGTACTTATCGTTTTAATTCTGTGGGTGTGCCCAAGGTGGGCACACTGATTGAGGGGTGAATAGAGCTTCAAAAAGAGTGCCGAAATGAGCATTGTTATCAATGAATTGACCGATGAGATGTGGAGAAACAAAGACCACAGACTCTCCAGTTGTTCTAGATTATCGGTGTTTGGGCACACTTAGGGTTCGCCGCTTGATTTTAGGCAAGATTTCAAAGTAAAAAATTTAAAACTAATATAGAATAAAGAGATTAAACATGGCTAAAATATATGGACTGGTTTGTGTTGAGCTGCCATCTACTATAAATAAAGATGGTTCGGAGTAACCTATAGTAACTTATAAATCCTTTTTCATTCAGTTTTTCTGTGCGTACAGAAGGAAATTTTTATGTGTGTCCAGACCAGACACACTGTGCCACAAAGGGTTAACACGGCAGCTAAACACTGAGAAATTGACCCAGGTTTGAACCTAGGCGCACAGGCTGGCTGCATGATAGGTTTTAGTATTTACTCCATGAGTTACCTGAATGCAAGCCAAATTTCCTTAGAAAGTCCTTCAGGAAGACATGCCCACCCTTAGTCAAATAGCCACTTAGGCAAGAGCTGTTGGGAGTCTGACCTAGGTTTGGTCCTAGTCATATGAATGAATATTTTATAAAATATTGAACATTATTTATTTAAATGTTTGAAGCAAACAAATAATAACTTAAAATTTAATGCTTTAATATAAGAACTGAAACAAAGAAATAAATATGTGTATTAATAACTCTGCACTTTTACGTATTGAGAATATAATTAATTAAGCATTTTCACGAAACTCCTACTGTCTGGAACTCGCAGACTTCTAATTGCAAAACGTTCATATTCTTGGGAAATATTTTAAAAAGAAGATTTTATTTCAAATGTGATCGAAAGTATTCTCATGCAAAGTAAGTAATATTGAGCAAAATATTTAAATATGAGTGAAAGCAGCTTTAATTTTAACACCTACGTAACTACATATTTGTTTGTTTCTGATGACATTTTAAGACAAACAGGAGATTTCAATTACGAACAACGTTTTTCATTTTTAAAACTATACATTGTTAACAGTCTTTAATTTTCAGCATTAAAACGCATCTCATAGAACACTCAAAAATAAGATAACTTTTGTAAATATTTTCTGATTTTTCTTAATTTAATAAATTAAAGATGGCAAATTTTGCTGCCTTTTAATAGAATTACATTATTTACCACCTTTCGACATCCACGGAAGCTCAGAAAATACCGTTTCTGCATTTTAAATATGATATGGAAAAAAGGTTGGTTTGGTTTATTAATTATGGCAAAGCACACTGAGCGCCGCCTGAGATAACCACTGACCTAACTTTGTTGTAAAAGTCTTACAGTGTTAGTAGTCATCCTGGCAGAAGGGAAAATTTCCTCCGTGTAAGAATATACATATAAATATTACATGGGCATACAAGGCCTGTGAATAAGCATAGATATGTTGATTACAATCATTGTCTTGTACAAGTTACATATGACAGATACATAAAGTCATGACAGCTATGTGTACATTTAGACATTATATGAATTCATATTTTACAATACTTTTACTGAGATAATCAAAATTAAACTTGTAATTCATTTACACATTGACTGGATTTTCATATCATTTAAACTGCTTTACAATATTATTTTTATCAAGTACATATAAACTGGATAGTAATATGCTTACATTACAATAGTTTTGCTCTTACAGTCCTGTTATTATTCTACGGGGTGAGTTATTTTCCTAGTGTTGATGTTCAGTTGTTGTAGTATTTTGAATTGCTATTAAAATTATGCTGCGAAGATACAATTCTCAAGAGAGGGGGAGAATTTCTTAGAATCTTGCTGAGCAAAGCCTGATTACCTCATCTATTTTAGTTTTCGTCTGCTTGTTGCCGCGGGTATTCTCTGCCCATTGCGGCCAGTATTCGCTGCTTGGCATTTTTAAATGCAGTTTATTGGTTTGTGGGCAGTTGAAGAGGAAGTGATCTGCATCACCTACCGCACCACATTCACACAAATCTGATGCTCGTATGCTGAATCTCTTAAGGTAATGTGGGAAGGGACCATGGCCAGTGTAGAATTGAGTTTGTGCTCCGCTGTATGTATTAACTGAGCACGTGACTTTTGGAAAGAACTTGTAGGTTCTCCTCCCTGTGCTTTCCCTTTCCCATCTTTTCTGCCATTCTTGAAAAAGGCTATTGAGCGTGGTTTTTTTTAAATAGGACTGCGAACACTTACTGCGCTTTCCAATCTACTGGAGTCATTGGCAGCCGATTTCGCAAGCAGGTCTGCCGCTTCATTGCCAGTAATACCACATGAGCTGGAACCCAGATCAGGATAGGTCTGTCATCTGGTGGGATCCTTAGAAGAATTTTCTGAATATCTTGCACCAAAGGACTCCTTGTCTTGTGCCCTCGGATGGACTCCAAACTTGAGGCAGAGTCGCTATATATGCTGACCTTTAAAATCCTAATTGATATTTTGCCAAATTGATGGCTGCTTTTAATGTCAAGAAGCTCTGCCTGAAAAGCGGTATTTTTTGTCTGCCAGTCGTCTTTCCCAAGTTTTAACCATTTCTCCTTCTTGGAGTACACAGTAGGCGCAGCCTGTGCCTTTTTCCGTCTTTGAGCCATCTGTATAAACTATCTTGCCTAAGGTGGGATGCCTTCGTGGAGGACTTTCTAAGAGAAACTGGCTCGTATACACGTTACAAATTTAGAAAACCACGAAAACGCATATGCAGCCAGCCCATTCGCGGGATTCGAACCTCGGACCGAACTACCAAGGTTCAGCGACTTTACCGCTCGGCCGCTGGTGGGCTGGAAAAAAAATGGCTATTATTTTACAATTAATTAAAATACTGCACAAAGCAAATGATAGTTAAAATAACTTGCACTAAAAAATTATATTACAACTTCCTAATTTTAGCATTGGTTCAGTCAAGTTACTAAAGTATTTCTAGCATCTTTTTAAAAGTTATAAGATATATTTGTATTTTGACGAGAAGTAAATGCGTGAAGCATGTTTCTATTTTTGAAATATGTTTTTAAAACCATAATTTAAATTATGCATTCAAACGTAACTTACTTGCATAAACATAGCAGTAACTCTTAAGGAAAGAAGGCAGTTTTGTTTATCTAAAATGCTGAAATTAATACTGGTTACATTATATTTCACTTTAACCTCTGATTAATTTCACTAGGTAAATACAGAATTGTTTGAATTCAAATGTTAAATTTATTTATTTAATGTGTTATTGTTATTGCCCCTACCATTAACTGAGAGTATTACAATTACTTCAGCTCTTACTACTATTAGTGCTGCTGCTGCTACTACTACTACTACTACTACTACTACTACT